CCCCCCCGTGTCTCTCTCGTTCTCTCAGTCCGCGCCTCTCTCGTATACCAGTAGACCTCGCGATTTACGATCTTCGACCACGATTCGCGCCACGGGCGGAGAAAAGAGCGAGAATGCGAGCGAGAGAGAGAGAAGGAAGAGGAATGCGGTGTCCGTGCGTCCGTCGTCTGCGGACGCCTAGGAAGGGGTACGCCCCTGCGTCGCGCAGTTTCCGTCTGATTTTCACGCTTCTCGTCCCTCGGCATTTGCCGAAGCGGCGAATGTTTTCCGAATGGTTCGTATCGCGAACTCACTCGGTGGTCTATAAATAGGTGAATCCGTTGGTTTGATGACGTTTTCTAGGGCGAGCCCCTACCCCCCTGCCCCCCGCGCGTGTACGCGCCGTGCGTGAGCGAGAGACCCCCTTCGCCCCCTTTTCCTTCCGCCCCTTGCCCTGCCAGCTCGTTGCCGCCACCTCACTTTTCCCATACGTGATCATCTTCCTCCTCACCGGGCCGCCCGCCTCCTTTTCTCGTTTTACATGTTGCATTTTTACGCAACGCGACGTGCTCGTCCGAAGAATTTTTCGCGTCGTTCGATTCCGACTACTTCCCTCCTCCTTTTCTCCTCTATTCAGCGACACTTCTGCTTCTTCTGCTCCACCCCACCCGCCGATATCTCCTTTCCTTATCTCTTTTCTGGTTTTCTCGGTCGCTGAAATAGTGTCTGTGTGTGCGATCCAGTGGCCCTTCTTCCTCTTTTTGTCGGTTCGTCGGTCGCGGTACGTTTCGGGTGTTTACGTTTCCGCGAAAGACAGAATCTGACACTGTTCGCTCTGTCGCTGCCTTCCTTTTCGGCCATTCTCGATTTTCCTCAGTCTACTTCCTTTGCCGGTATATTTCCTTAATGTTTAACGAAAAAGATAACACACCTTAAACCATGCTACTTCCGTTGGACGATGCTTGAATTTTTGCGAATTTTACCGTATCGTTAATACTACAAATAATATACCACAATTGACTGTACATTCATAAATGACTCGTGAAAACTGAGCTGTTATCGAGCGAGCCTTGTATTTAATGAGAACATCGTTACAGAAATAGATGATAAGCTAAGCCGACTAAGACCGCATTAGTCTTTCTCTCTCTCTCTCTCTCTCTTTCTCGGCTGAAGGCGTCAACCTTCATTATTTCGACCTAATTGTCCAACTTTATGCCGCACACATAATGCATATGACGCGTATCTCGCATTGCACGGAGTTGCAACTGATCGCGACGCGCGCAGCTTTCGAGTATCCGCCATGAATGACGAGCACTTGTGAATAAGAATGCTGATGATACTACTATACTATCCGGTGCTTTTGTGCCGAAACCGTTCAATCTCCGTCATAAGTGTTCCGGTAGTTATTATCATTTTCTGACATTTTAAAAGCGCCAACTACTCGTCAATTGCCTGTGTATTGCCGATATATACTGAGAGAGAAATTAGTTATTTTCGGTTCTTCAACTCTTCTTTTACGATATTAACCACAGAAATAGTGTTGTATGGTAGCAATATGTGTATAAAATTATCATTGATATTGTGATATCAGTGTCTACGCAGCACTTTTTTCTTCCAGTGCGCTACATTCAAGTAATGTTTACTTAATCCGAGTGAAACAATTACTCCGATATTTCTTAGCATCTATTTACTTGAATGTAGCACTTTTTTCTCTTTCATTGTACAAATACCAAAAATTTCTTTTCTCAGTGCACTGTATATGAATGTAATCAGAACATCGAGGAAGGATCATAGACAGCGATTACTTGCTTGATGAATAATTTATTTATTCTTCACCGAATGTGTAATCGAGTAAAATTTGACTCAAAAAACGAGCCGAACTCTTCGATTGGGCTTAATAAATCGTACATATAATAGTAACACTCTCTTCTAAAGAAGAGGTATCAATCAATGCAGATAATTACAAGAAGATATTCGACTTTTTTTTTTTTTTTGACGCGTTTTTCGTGTATCGTTGACTCTTAACATCGATATCACATGTCGCTCCGGCACTGAGTGAGTCGCTTAGCGACCGCGTATCCGCCCTTTCCTGCTCGATCATGTGAAATATTTGCGATCGCAATTACGACGGAACTGGTCTTATCTACGTACCACGACGGCGTCGATGACTCCGACGACGCCAGTGGGCTCTCGTAATTCGCTTATTGCAATTGCATCCCACACCCACTCGCGTGCATCCGATGCACCGCGTGCGTTTTGCTGTCTCGACCGAGTCGCGTCTCGCGACGACGAGAGTCATCCCTATTGTCTCCTATTTTCCACGAGACGTCGTCGCCTTTCCCGGAACGATTGGACGGGCTGTTCGACGAATCAGGGAAATTACGCAAATTGCGAGTTTAGTTTACTTCACTTCGATTATGATGATGTCTTAAGTTTAATTTGCTGTTTTTAGTAAAAAATAAGCTGCTTTGAATACTCGTATACATTTAAAACGTAAATAGTGGAACCTATAAGAGACTATGCACGGGTATTACAGTACAGTAAATCGAGAATTTTTACTGTCTAAAAATTTAGAGAATATATATTTTCAATGTTCAAAATTAAACGTAAGTTATTACTCGTGTAATTTTAATAATTGAAGTATTGAAAGAGCATTTTTGCAGCTTCAGAGTAACATTGAAATTAAATTTATAGAATTAAAATGTTCAAGAGAAAGGTTTTGCAAGTGTACTATCTTGGAAATAGATTTGTATTAATCTGTAAGCGGCTTAAGTAGACTCAAACTACCCTTATGAGAGTCGAAGTAACATTAAAGTTTCGACTCAGGTAACGAAATGTCGGAGGATCGGTCGGAATCGCTGAATCATCCCGTGTAAATCCGTCCTTTTTTGCCTCGAATAATCGGTTTAACTGTTGTCATCGTGTCAAGTGATCAGCTGTGCCAGTCATCGATTTCAGCAGTCGATCATTACTGGCGTCTTCGACACTCGCTCGCCGATCGCAGCGGGACAGTGCTCGTAACCCCGATTCGCGCGATATTACGTGGCCGTCGATCTTACAAAGTACACCGTACGTGTACGTGACAACTTTACACGTGACGGCATAGCGCGGCCATTTCACGCACGAGGAGGCGTTTACATAATAGATCAGTCAACGCGTAAACCCGACCCGGCGACGATCGACGCGCGGTATTGATCCTCCTCTCCCCCTTCTTTCCCTCGCACATTGACACATTTATGGGCAGATGGGTCCCACCTACGAAATGCCATTGACTCGTCGCAAGGCGCGCTCTCCGCCGAAACTGCAAGCGCCGTTCTGATCGATACTTGTCGCGCCCCTCCCGTGCACACGATAAATGTGCAATATTTCTCGAGGGGGAAATCCCACGAGCCTCGCTGATGACTCCCCTCCTATAATTGGCGGATGGTCGATTGTGGGAATGCTCCCTTTCGGAAACTGTGAGAAGCCAGAATCGGCCTGAACTCACGAAATGCATCGGGAAAATTTCTTTGAACATTCTTTGAATTTCTTTCGCTCGTCGCTGGGGAATCTTCACTTTGAAAAGTGATTTTCTCAAGAAGGATTCTTCGAGAAATTCTACAATTGATGTTATCTAATGCGTGAAATTATTAGAAATTGTATCGGTTAAAGGAACGTCATACCTCCAAATTTTGTTGGCAAAATGTCGACTTCTTTCCGCAATGTTTACATTGTATTGGCTTTACAGAATTATAATATGCTTTTACACAGTGAAAGAATGCGTGAAAATGAATCGGAGCATTGTTCAATATGATGAAAACGACTAGAGAGGGAAATTTCAAAATTGATATAACTTTAGTTTCAGTTAACGTAAATATTTATCTGATATGGAAGCCGTACAGTTTGCACATACTGAATATGTGAATGCTCCAATTGGGAAAATTGTAAAAAAAACCTTTTTAATTAAATTTAGAGGCCTAAAAAGATACGAAAAGTTTACAATAAAATTTCTGTATACCGGTTATAAATTTTCCTCTATGTAAGTAATAAGTATGATAAAACATAGTAATGTGCATTATCGCGATAATAACTTTACATAAATATTATTGTTACTACTTTTGTGGTTAAAACTAAAAAAAAAGGATAGCTGAGGCCGAAAATAACTATAATTTCTACTAGTGTACGTCATGAAAGTTTCACTAAATTCATCGGCGACTCTTGTATCCCTTTAACCATTCAATATATGTACGATACGGTGAACAATATGGAAACAATATACAGGTGTCGTTGGTTTACAGTTGCACAGTCACATTTCCAAAAAAAAAAGAAATTAGATCTAGTTGAGAGTGCGCTCTCGTTTCCTGCGTACATCTGGATCAATATTTCACGCGCTTATTGGTGCATACGATGCATATCGTTCATCGACGTGCCGAAGGGTCCTTTGACTTGCTCCCGGGGGGCGTAATGCGACTCTGAAGTTGCGCAACGTAATAATGCTCATTGACCAGTGAGATGAAATTACATATAAATAGCGGCTTCCTTATCCTTTCACGGGACGTAAGAATTTAACGCGACGGCAATGCATCCGTAATTTTAATCCTGCGCCGAAGCTCGCACAGATTACTAGATATTCCATATCAGATAAATATTTACGTTAATTGACAGCTAAAAACGTCAGTTTCGAAACATCCCTCTCCAGTCGTTTTCATCACATATTGAATAACTTTCCAATTCACTTTCGCGCATTCTTTCACTGTGTGAAAACATGTTATAATTCTGTAAATACAAAGTAAACTTTGCAAAAAGAAGTCAACATTTTGCCAACAAAATTTTGAAGCACTCCTTTAACCAATACAATTTCTAATAATTTCATGCTTTAGAATATAGCAATTATAGAATTCTTCGAAGAATCTATTTTGAAAAAAATCACTTTCACTTATCTGATCGCAGAGATATTCAACAGCTAAAACGAAAAACTGATCGAAGTGGTCGTTCGCCGGATCGAAAAGTAACACAACAATATGATATTATTCTAACGGTGTGACGGTAATTTCTTTACGCTCGAAACTCGAGCTTAAAGCCCACGGAATTAGAACGCCGCGTGCGTACGTGTGGACAAAATTATGACACTCGTCTGACAGACATCTTTGCGGTTAACCGGATTGAAGCCTTATGCAACGATTCCGCTTATGAATCGTTCTCAAATACGAGTCCCAGCTCCAGTCGCATAATCAGATAAGCGTTGTTAACATTATTTCACATTCTTCTGTCGATATTTATACGATAGAAATTAGATTATCGCTCTCGAAAAAATTAAAATGACTTTTCGAAGTAAAACATTCTCGGTACTTCTAGTGTTATAAAGTTCCTGACCTTTCCATAATGTAATAACCCTTCTCTATACAAGTCCTTTTCTATTCTCCGGTCTCGCGATTACGGATCTCAGTTGCGAATAAACGTCGAGTATTTAACGAACAAAGGAGAGAAAGGCATAAAGATGGAGGGAAAAAACAATCGGCGAGGTGCGAAGTGAAGAAGCGTGAAGTCGCGCTCGGTGGGATTCAGGCCTACTCTCCGCAGGGTGGAGAGACGACCGTGAAAAAGCGAGCATTATCTGCGCCGACTGTACCGGTTGACAATCGGGACTCGACGCACGAATCTTCGCTGACGGTGACTGCTTGGCAGTCGACGATCGGCAGTCACGACGACCGTGTCTCGCACCGTAGTGCGTCGCGACGTTTTCAATTCTCCCACACCATCCGAGGTGTGACAACCGCCAACTCAGGTCAGCTCATCACGGCTAACTCGTCGATTGATCGAGGAAATCGAGGAAAAATTTCGTATCGCGTGAGATTCCGTGCGTATACGAAGTATATACCGGGTACACACGACCGCGGTCGTACACCATGTAAAAAAAAAATTAGCTACGCCATTCTCGACATATTCCACTCGCATACGCGCGCGCATACACTCTCTCTCTCTCTCTCTTTCTCGACAAACAACATAATCGCCTTTGGCGAAATAGATATCTCAGTAATTTACGATGGATGTTGTTAGACACGATTGGTTCACAGTAATATATATAGTGTGTCGTGAATGAAATCCGTTTAATCGAGAGGAAAAGAAGTCAATTCCGAGTTCAGGTCGTGCGTGTAGAGACTAAATCTGGATCTATCGATGAGTGTAATAAGTTTTTAGCTCTAAGCATAAAAAATTCTGACGAAACATCGAGCAAAAAAGCGTTTTCGGCATTATCAGACGTCGCGATTATTAAGCGATTCTTGGCGCGGAAAGCACATTTTGCATTAGATCAGAAATTGCATTAGATTTTATTGATTTGAGCAAAAGGCTTACTATACACGGAGCAAAAGGATTAATTGAACAAACATAATAATGAACCAAACACATTTTGATGGAAAGAAATCGAATTTTTGATTCTTATATCCAAATTTGATTGATAAAAATCACAGAAATTCGGTTTCGTTTTTAATCGAAACAAATTTGATTCGTTCATTGTCATCGTAATTCAACTAATCTCTAAGAAAATTGACCAATAATAGTCGATTATTCTTTGACCGTGGAGAACAATCGATTATGTTTGGTTGATTTTCTTACGGTTCTTTTTCTGCCATGCCCTGAATCTTAAATTACGTCTTCCGCGATATTTCGAGCGCGACCGTCTCGAGATCTCAATCTGCTACGATCACGGTGGATCAATCGGTTTGATCTCATTTTGAACGTCCCACGTTTTCACGACAGATCGGGCCTGATCGAGTCTACCACGCTACATCAAAAGTTCGATTCGGGTTTCGTCCGGTGCGAATCGCGCGAAGATCGTCGCGGTTTGTTCGCTATCTTATCGGCGTCTCGGCGAGGATAAAAAAAAAGGAAAGGTGTGAGTGTGCATGTCGGCTCTCGTGGCCCTGGAGTTACGCAACAGGCAGCGGGCGTAATGAAGTCGAAGACGAACGATAGTTTCGTAGCAAGTGAAAGCAACGGGGTCAAGAAGGACGGTGCTGACGAGGTCAAGCAGAAACAGCTGAAGAAAGGTGAGAACCGGATAGAGGGTCGCCATGAAGAGAGACACGGGGGCCTAATCGTTACCTCGAAGCCCGTCTGCTTCCGTTTGCGACTTTCCTCACGACAAATGCTCGCGTATCTTTCTTTTTTCTTCTCTTAACTCCACGTCGCTCATTATTCGTCTGCGAATGTTAATGCATGGGAAAAAAATAATTTAGAGGGACAGCAAATTTTATGCTCTATCGCAGCAAATGAATAAATATACAAGGTGTTTCTGAAATATCGTCCGATATTTTAGGAAATGATTCGCGAGGTTATTTTATGAAGAAACGAACATATGTTCGTAGGAACATTTTTTATGAAATTTTTTTACAAAATAACCTCAGAAATCACACAACTCCTAAAATATTGGGCAATGTTTAAAAAACACCATGTATATTTATTTATTTGCTACGGCAGCATAAAATTTGCTGTCCTAGATTATTTTTCTCCATATCACCAATGTGTAAGAAAATATGCTTGATATCACGAATTAATTTGACGGGACAAAGTGGATCAATACGCGGGCTTAGACGACACGCGATAACGCAAGAGAGATTTTCATTAATAAAATTGCTAGCATTTTACAAACTATTAAGCGAATGTTGGGTATTCTCGATTGATTTCCTAATGCGGCTCGTTGAAGTTCATCTCTCAAAGTTTCATTCCGAAACGAGAATCATTGCCCAGCCGTGAAATTCTTTCATTAATTCTTCCATAGCATAGCATCCTTCTCTAGAATGTCGTTATCTTTCAATTTGATAATCGCTCCCCCATCATCTCACCGTGCCTGTTTGCATAATGGTTGCTCAAACAGACATTACCGATAAAAAAAATTGGCACGATGAAAACGCGCTCAGCGAGATAACGTTGTGCAAACCATCAAGATCGTATCAATATTTTCATTGATCCTCGAAATTTTCATTGGCCCGGAATGACGGACGGGAGCTCGTCGAGTCTTCCGAAAACTATTCGCTGTTAATCGCACAAGATAATGGTGATTTTCGCAAACGGGATCTTCTCTACTCTGAATTTCCGATCCCCGGAATCGGCATCGTCCGTATCACATCCCGGAATAACGGCCCGCATCGGCCAAAATAAAAGATCGGACGTAATTAAAACTTCACGCGATAACGTTAATTCGGTCTTGATAGTTGCCGTAGTATTTTATGGTATCACATTCATCCGCGTGCGCTTATCACGTTCTGTTCACTTCACTGGTTTAATGTCGCATGTCAAGATGATGTCGCATCGTCGTCAAGGCGACACGACTCGACACTTAACCCGACAGTAGTCATCTTATTTTTTAGTACATAAACGATCATCTAGAATCGTTCAAACCCCAATTAAAAGCCGCTATTATTAACAAAATATAGCATATTATCCGTCTATGATTCATTATTATTTAGGGATATTATAAATATAGATTTACTCCCTACTTTCTTGAAAAAAAAAATGAAGAAAGACCAAAAAAATATTTAAGATACGATATAATGAGCACATCATATCGCGGGTTAAATTGCACGACGCGAAAATTCCACGTACGCATAATATCGCCGTGATATTCAGGGAAACGACTGGAATATTTGCATGTTGCCCTCAGCCACGAATAGATATCTCCGTCACGATTTTCGTTGCTCGTGACGCGGCGAATTCAAGGAACGTGACGCGGCGCGCACGCTGAAGGCGATTTTTTTTCCACGTTCCCTCGATACCCGCGAAGAAAATATGTACTGTGCCGAGTAACACAATAGCGTATAACGCGTGCTACGTGTATCGGCGCACCTTCAATCCTTTTCGCTTCTCTCAACAACGATGCCAATTGGAATCACGTCTGCGTGTTGTTCGCGCGAAATCGAACACCCAAAATGTCTTTCAAAACAGTGATAAGATTTTCGAACCGAAATGTCGATTTATTGTTTTGTAAACTGATATCCCTGGCGGATTTTTAAGCGATCGGAAGTAAAGATGAAATCAACCCGGGAATAATCACCTGGGATCGTTTCATATCCCAGCGATCAGAAAATAAAACGTCGCAGTGGGGATTTTTTTAATGATCGGGAAGCAGTCCCTATCTTTCATTTGGATATTTAGAAACCTATGCAACAAAAATTGACTGAACCTCTTCGTCTTGTCTTGTCAAAAATCGACTGTGAACGTCTTATTCATACTATAAATTTGTAAAAACTCATTAGGGTATAAAACGACTCCAGGTGATCGTTCACGTTACAAAATTAGTCAAGTACAGTAAGATTTCGTATTGGGGATGAATATAAGATAATAAATTTGAATGAGATAACGTGTACTTATACTTATTAAATTATAGTGTATAATATATCATTATAGTGTTTTGGAAAGTTCTCAAGGTAAATTACAAAAATATGTAATGAAAATTGGGGATTTCCATTTAAGAAATTGAAGATGACCTTCATGTGATTTCCAAACGACTAAGTTCAAACTAATGGCACCATTTTATGTCCCTCTCGAAGTCACAAAACTTTTGTATGAAATATTTTTCTCTAAAATACTTTGTTTCCGAAATATAAATTTGTAACACTTCAATTGACTCACTTTGTATACTGTAGAATTGATTGGGTTTTAATAGTTGTATGTGTTAATATTTTTTAATTTCTTAAATATATTTTGATCGCTAATATATAGTATAAATAGTCTATAAACGTGTTCTATTAATGTTTATACCTGTAGCAACAAAAATGGGTGAAATTGCTTGTACGTTTCGAAATGACGCTCCTTAAACATGGCTGAGCCAACGAACGAATAATATGTTGACTTGTGATGATTTGTTTTTCAGTATCACAGAATGTAATTTAAAAATTATTGCTATCTCGCTTCGTTAATGTCACCGAGTATTGTGAGAGTCGTATGTACATCACGCGAACGTAACATGAAAGAAAACATTTTATAACTCAGTTATACACCCGTTCGTGGGATACTAATTATCGGTCACATGCATTATTAAATGATTGACCATGCGATTGTCATACAATGGGCACGTGTCGGAATACGTGTTTCTCGTTGCAATTCTTTTCTGCAGGTTATTGCAACGTATTAATTAATAGTGACACGTCATGGTGCCTATAGGTTTGCGAAACTGTGTAGGAAACACTGTGAAGAATTACTAGAAGCAGGCTAATTTATAAATATTTTATGTTTTTTATGTATGAATAATACACTGAGTGAGTCTAATAAAATGTTTTACCTCGAAAACGCTTAGAGATAGGGGAAAGACACTGTCAAAATTGTAGAACAAGTGGGAGAACGTAATTTGATGTTAACAGTTTTTTTGGAAATAAAGATTTAAAAGAAACGTGAAGGTCAACTTTTTTTTTAATGGCATTGTATGGTTTTTTTTTTCTTAACATAAATCGATTTCTCTGATCATTCTATGTATAAAAGTATTCAGATAAGACTATTGAAAAATGGATACTTCCAGAGATGTTTTACGTTTTATCTTTGATCCTTTTTGATGTAATATATGAAATATTTCGTAAAGTAACCAATTTTCGGTCATCTCACCTCAATACTTTTCTATGTATACAATGGGTGTCTTCCCTCTATCTCTGGACGTTTTTGAAAAAAACTTCGTGAACTTTTTATTAGACTCATCCTGTATTTTCTGCGAAGTATTATGAATAAATATTACACCACTAAATGCGATATTCTACGCACAATATAAAGATGTCGCTTTATCTTATACAATTTTTATTCAATATCACGCTGACTCTCCGCACGCTCGGTGAAAGCTAAAATAACGTCACGGCTGATCGCTACCTCACGTAGTGATAAAAAATCAACCGCAAAAACCATAACTATTATCATCGTAACGGCAGCGTCCGCTAACGCGCGCAATAATCTCTCCTTCGACAATTTTTATTAAGTCATCGTCGTAGAAAGCGCAGCGCGCTTGTGCTAATCAAGATACGAAACACTATTTAAAATCTCATTGATCATCGTAGAGTATTTACACAGGTGATCACGATCGCCAAATCGTTAATTTCTAGCCACGATGAATTCATACGTTACGTCAATTTGTTATCGCGATATAATCGAGTTTGATGCTTTTATATTGATTAGAACGAGTTTATGCCCAGACAATAATCAAGCTTAACGTTCGCGACCGATTCTCACAAGAAGACATATGGTAGAGTGGCTCTCACCGATTTTGATGATAAACTTCGGACGTGTCGTAGAGCAGCTGAACGTAAGACGTGTATTTTTGTAAAAAAAATTTAATGGAAAGCGCATTTATTTAAAAAAATGCATATGCTTTCATACGTTTGGAGGTTGAAACGATATAGCGAATAGCAGCTTTCTTTCAGACTCCTTTCGAGTAATTTTGGCAAAATCAGCGCAAAACCCAGAGGGTGTAAAGAAGTAATCGTAGCCGGCGGAACATCGGTCGGAGTAGTTTTCTGCTTGGAGCAGCAGAAAGCCGACACTGCATGTCCTGCATATGTTCATTTTATGCCGACTATGCGCTCGTGCGAATCCCGACGGTATCTAAGCGGAGAACATGTATTCTTCCATTTCACCTTCCTATTGAACATTTGCGTAAACTGGGGTACAACGTCTGTGAAATTGGTCCCACTTTCTCAAAATTAAAAAAAAATGAATAGAGTTCTGGTTGCCCCTCAAAGAGTTCTAGAGTCCCTGTCGATGTTAAAAGGTGTTCCGTCGATTAAAGCGGTGCGAACCCGAAATGAAAGTATAGGGAGGCCAACTTCACGATTGTGTAACTTCGTGTTTTCACCGCTTTGAAATGGTTGTATTTATTTCATTTCATTTCTAACCTATTGTCTTTCTGTTCGAATAACTTTTGAAACTTATAATTTTATTAAATCAGTTGTTATTAAATTATAGCCGAAGAATCACTTAATGTCACGTATAAACTTGGTTTTACTCTGATTAATAATAAAAAGAATATAACCTAACAAATATTCTTTGTTACAATTGACACCACTCCCCTAAC